ATATACAGTAATCGTAAATGTGAAACGACACAGTGTTTCGCAATTCAGAAGTTAAATAGCTCGTAGATTCAAGGAATGCTTGAAACAAGATTCTTTTACTATGCGGTGGAAAAAAGGCAACAGATATGAATAGAGGATTACACGCCTTTTAAAAGATTTACGGCCTCAAGAGAAGAGAGAGAGGGGAAAAGAGAGATAATGAGGAGATGCAGCGATCAGCCCCATGGGATGCGGTTTTCCACGTGTCTAAAGCACACTGCTCAAACTGTGACATATGGTTAACACATGCACTCACTCATACTATTTAAAAGGTACACTGGCTAATGTTCTACTTCCTGTTTTGCGCATAGCACTGTGTACTCAATGTTTTTGATGAACAGAATCAAATTAAACATATGGGATGGTCAAGTTGGTGATTTATGAGGTTCACCATTTTTTTTTGGAATATAAATGGATAATGTCTCTACTACGTTACAGAAATCTTTTTTTTTTTTCTGATACAAACTGTGATTTAAAATGTGATAAAGCTCCAGGTTTTCTATGCTTGTTTGTAGGGCTGCACAATTCAGCCATAACGATATGACTACAAAGTAACTTTTATTATTCTTTTTAATAATAAGTAGTATTACTATTAAATAAATGTTATTACTATTAAAAAATATATTAAACAAAACAAGAAATATTACTATTGCATCATTTCATCATAAAAATAGTATTTAAAAATATAATAATAATAAAAAATATAAATTACTCTCTAAAATTAGCTACTAAAAATATACAATATTATTTATAATAATATATAATATAATTTTTTAACAGTGAAATAATAATACTAACATTTACTTAATTTCTTCAGTTTCAAGCACTAAAGGCACAATATGTAAGTTTTCGCCGTTAGAGGGCGCATTTTCAAAACAAAGGCGTAGTTTGATGACACCGTGACAAAGTGTGGAATCATGGGAGTTGTCGTCTTCATCCCCACAGCCGAAGCAATCCGACGGGACTTGGGTAGAAATCATGTTCATGGATGAGCTAATGTATTAAAGATTTATTAACATCGTAGTATGAAGCAGGGCGAGGCTGAAAGCCGTCGAAGCGAAACGAGGCCGCTGAAGCAATTGCTAATGAGAGACGAGCGCGACACACGGCTCGAAAGCAGCGGCGCTTTTATTATGCCACAGTCAACGGCTTCTGCTCCTTCCGGTCGTGCGTATGTGGGGTAAAGCGTCACTGTTTTATCATCCTAAATTGTATTAACATTTACTATATAACCAATATTTCGCTAATAAACATCTAAATAAATACAACTCTATGGAAATTAATTATTTATTATCTCCGCGAGCGATCGCAGTTTCAGTATAGTTCTGTGTAACTGCATAGATAAATCGTGCTGTCAGCAGGCATTTCATAATCTAGAAGGACAAAAACATTAATAATTCTGATATAACATTCCAGTTGAGAAATGCAATAAAATACGATGTTTTGTTTTTTTATATTCCAATATTCCAGAGAATATTATTCAGTGAATTAACATTATCCAGTGAATTATTCTTGACTCTGTAGCTATTAAAGTGCTTAGAAACCTACTAAAACTGTAG